CCTGGTCAATCAACCTCAGTCAGACTATCATCCTCAGGAGAGAAAGGAGATGAAGGTACCACCATCTTTAAGGGATACAATGCTGCGCCATTATTGTGGGGCTCACACGGCAGCACGAGGTCTGCAATGAAAAAGGCAGAAGTTGATGGATAGACGCAGATTAGAATGTGAGGTAAAGGAAGCCGTCTTTCGACAACTGTGCGAGGCCGAGGCTAAGCTGGCTCTTGCAGAGATTGAGTGCAACAGCGATGCAGGATACGTAGCATTCAGGTGCTCCAAGTCAAGCTACAAAGAAAGAGTAGGAACCTGTCTACCAGAGGGTGTGCTCGAAGTGAAGTTTAGTAGGTGCCTGAGAGAAGTACCTGCACCTAGATGTAACAGACTTCACGGCTTCAAACTCCCACGGCTAGAACTCATTTCTTTCGATGACAACGCTTCAGAATATTGGCGATTCAATCGGCAGTTCAACGGCTTCTTTTTTATAGGCTCTCTTGTGGAGGGAGGTAGAAAACTGGTTTATCTGTAACACTATTGTAAGGGAGTAGCTAGAGAGGCAATAGAACCGTGCATGCTAATGTCAGAAGAAAATGGGTATCATACGGCCAGGGAGATACTCGATACATTATTTGATGGAACGCACTAAGAAGTCGGATCAGGGCATTTTGGATACATAGGACTTGCGGCTGATGCCAATGCGTCCAGTTCCTTGCACTTGTGAACTCTGGTGCGATACCACTGTGCTTCGACTGCAGGAGAAGTTCTTGATCCTTCACTTTGGGTTTCTGGATGACGGGCAGATGTGCAAATGAGATGTTGGAATAGTCAATCGGTAATATCAGTAGGCTCCAGTCAACATAGGGTCATCGCATGAACCGGTTACTATGCGAGAAATTCAAGCCAGACACTCTCTACCGGTGGGTGAGTATATGATTTAAATAAAGACTAGGAGAACGTAAGTTTTATTTTATAAAGGAAAGAGAAGAAAAGTGATTTGTCACAGACCAGAAGGATGATAGGGAAAGGGAAAGGGAAAACTGAACAAGATATAAGACTAACTTTCACCTAAGGACTCTCCGAATGGCCTATGGTTCACCTTGCACTGATCACTCCAAATCAGGGAATACAGTTAGTCAACAGTCATCCAGCTTTTGCTCGAAGCTTATCACATTCTTTGCGGTGATCACTGCTTCTGGGAGTTTTTTCTAGCTGTTCACCAAACGGTTTGTTAGAAACTGTGCTCGAACTTCCAGTCTGGAACGCGCTTTCGCCAATTTCAAAGAGTGTTCACATAATGCCACGTTGTTATTGGCAGTGAAAATTGGAGCACCCGTATCAGTAATGCCTTTTATGCTCTTGAAGGCTTCAATCAAGTCATCCCTAAGGCGTCTCCTCTTCAGGGAGAATAGGTTCAGCATAGACAAACGAGTTGGGTAGTCTTGCCCTCTGAGATGAAGGAAGCATCTCGTGAACCTACGTTGCACAGCCTCTAGGACCTTCTTGTCCCGTTCCAGGTATGGCAACCACACTTGGATGCAATATTCCAAGTGTGGTCTCACATACACTTTATATAGGGGCACCAACACCTCTGGATCACGCGAGACAACTATTCTCAGCTGTTGGTACAGGGCGTTATTTGCCTTACGTGCCGCCTGTAGGCACTGATTCTCTGATTTTAAACTACTGGTGACCTGAATTCCCATATCCGTCATTTCTTCACTCCTTTGGAGTTCCACTGGGTACTCAGTGTTAATCCACCGCCTACTGCTTACGACTGCCCAGACGCTTACAACGTACGTGGGCCGAAGTGGCGGATAGGATCGTATCCAGTGGCGGACGGCACCGGTTTATCGACTATATTCAAATGATAGACGCAGAATCAAGGATTCAGAACAGCGCTTTAAAAAGGTTAGTGGATGTATTTCATGTTGAATTTTTGAAAGTACTTCCAAACCCATGATGATTCAGGGTGACATAACTCTATCTGTGTTGCTTCTCTATTGACATTTCTCAATCATAAACATTATACATTATTCTTCATCTGGTAATTCGATGCCCGGCACATTTGAATTTTGCGTGGTTTGAGAACGTGAGCGACGTTTTGGCTCTCTCTGGACATCATATCTAGCTCGCTTGCTTGAGTGCTTTTGGCCACATATTTGACGTTTGCTTTATTGTACATTTTGTAATGATTTCGATAATTCAGTAAAGTAGAACATTACGGATCAATCGTGTTTTATTTCTGGATTCGTATCGGTTTCGTCTACGCGTCACTCAAGTGCGAATTGGTTGACATACAGTACTTAAATTGGAATCACACGAGAAAACTATTTCGAAGATGCCCAGACGAGGAACCAAGGAAATTGGAACCCAACAGGAAGTAAGTCACCGGGAGGGGGGGCTGTGGATCATTTTGATTCTTTAGAAAATGTTAGATCTGTTAGTCCTGTCAGTGCTGTTTCATGTGTAGATTCATATATTAAGGATATTGATATATTTATATTGCGGGTTTCTGAATTAGAGCATGAGTTGAGATTAGCTAGGCAGCAGATGGACCGGGCCAAACGTGACAAAACCGATTTTAACGGCACAACATCACCTCGAGCTGAGACCTCACACCATGGCTTCTTTTCGAATAAAAAATCGACCCTAAACAAAGAACTTGTGCCCATGTAAACGTCGATTTACCAAGAGTAGAACTGACACCTTTTGATGGCAATCCCGAACAATATTGCCAATTCATTCACCCATAGGAAAATTTTGTTGAATATAAAACGATGCAGGGCAAAGGTTTTGGTTTTTGCTACACTACTGTCGGGGTAAGGCCAAAGAGGTTATACAAGGGTGTGCAATGCTGGACCTAGAGTTGGGCTACCCGAGAGCCAGGAATGTACTGAGGGAGATGTTCGGTCAACCATTCCGAGTGGCACGAAACATGATTGACGGGGTTGAGGCGAGGCGCACACGAGGTGATACTAGGTCTCAAACAAACCTGGTCATCAGGATGCGGAACTGCAGCATCGCCCTTAACCACCTCAAATACCCTCCGGATCTCGAGGACTCCATCCGTCACACAAGTGGGCGAGCACCAACTTAATCTCATATAACACACAAAGACCGATTAAGTGCAAACTGTGCCCAGGTGTCCACAAGCTTGCAACCTGCCCAGAGTTTGTGGCACTAAAGGCGATGG